AGCAGATGTGCCGGGTGGGGGTAATGTTGAGGACTATGAGGGGGTGATGGGCAGATGGGTGGAGGGGCAACAGGAGGTGCAGGAAGGATGGGAGGCGTAGGGGGTAGAGGGTGCGGAATGGGAGGTGCAGGAGCAGCAGGAATGGCAGGTAGGGGTGATGCAGATGATTATGGTGGGGATGGGCGGGTGGGTGGAGGGGCATTAGGAGGAGGTGCGGGAAGGATGGAGGTGTTAAAGGTAGAGGTGCAGGATTGGGTGGTTCGGCCATGGGAGGTTTGGGCATGGGAGGTTCAGGCATGGGAGGTTCGGGCATGGGAGGTTCGGGCATGGGAGGTTCAGGCATGGGAGGTTCAGGCATGGGAGGTTCAGGCATGGGAGGTTTGGGCATGGGAGGTTCAGGCATGGGAGGTTCAGGCATGGGGAGTTCGGGCATGGGAGCTGCGGGCATGGGAAGTGCGGGCATGGGAGGTGCGGGCATGGGAGGTTCAGGCATGGAAGGAGCGGGCATGGGAGGTTCGGGCATGGGAGCTGCGGGCATGGATGGTGGTCCGTTCCAGCGGAGTGGCTCGTTTGGGGAGAGTGGGGATGCAGATGTGATGGAGGGCGGCAGGGTGGGGCGTGGGGTGGGGAGGAGCAGGTCGGGGAGAGTGAGGGGGCGACCAGCATGGAGGGGTTGGAGGGGATGGGAGCAAGAGAGGGTATGGAAGCAGGGGACGGCATTGGGGGTGGTGGGACTGGTGGGGTTGGCAGAGGTGGCAGGAGTGGGTTCAGGATGGGTAGGTTGGGCAACTTGGTGGTGCTGCTGCTGTTCTGGTGCTGGTTTTGCTGGTGGTGGTGCTGGTGTTGGTGGTGCTGCTGCTAGTGGTGGTGTGGTGGGTTCAGAAGACCAGGTGGGGGCTTGGTGGTCGAGGCAGGGACGCCCAGCTCTGGAAGACGAGGAATGATTTTTATGTGTTTACTGGTTTTATTTACGGTAATGGTGCTAACTATGATGAGATCTAGAAGCGTTTGGAGAGAAATGGTGCAGAAAGTTGATTTGTTTTCTAAGATGAGCTTCCATATACTATTGTATATGACTTTATTGTCAACACTATAATCAATAATACTTTACGAGTCAGGTGGTGGCCATTGACAACAATGAGTACCGCTTTTGGAATGAGCAAACGATTGCCATGATTCACTATCATGGAGTGGAAAATGCAATGCCAGTATGGTTACAATAGCTTCATACGCCGAAACACGATACAGTGCAGGAATACACGTAGATTCTTGATACGCCCCTTATATCTTTACGAGGACGCGGATTGACATTCCCAAGAGAACCATGTCTGGTCCGATTTGCTATCCAGCCATAGCTTGTAACAACATCAAGGTGTGACTTTGTCACGACAGGAAACTAAGAAGAATAGGATATGCCTGAGGTTTCTTGCTGGAACGCACGCTCGCTTCGCCTGATCAAAAGAGGCCATGCAAGAATCCGATATTTATGCACGAATAGTGTGACCTGCGTCGATGTACGATTTAATTCGACCACGGATCCTGCGGGAATCGCGAAAGTCGCGCGTAATGGCAGGAAGGAACCGCGCGGAAACGCGGGAAATGTGGTGACACGCAGCAGCGAACGTGTCGCTAGTGCTATCTGGAGAGCGCGTTCGTCGGAGATCTTCGTCCCTCTCTGCGTGTTCTTCCTCATGGCCACCACCATGCTCGTCGCTTACATTTTCCAAGAAGCACCACTGGGTCTACTTCCCTGAGTCCTGTGAGTGTGACTATTTCGAGTCGATTGAAAATTCGTCCTCGGAGATTTCTCGTGCGTCCTTCCTCATGGCCACCACCATGCTCGTCACTTACATCTCTAAGAAGCACCACTGGGTCTACTTCCCTGAATCGTGTGAGTCTACTATTGGGTTTCTGGATCCCATACACCCCGCAGATTTCATTTGCTTCACTCTTTTACTTATTCAGCCGATTCTTACCCATAAACCCTTCGAATCTGGCCTTTACGATGAATGTGACCTCTGTTTGTGCGTGTATGGAATGGCAGCGGCGGCGCTGGTGCTGGGGATGGGTTCGGCGTGCTGTCGCTGGTCCTGGAGGACGATCTGGCGTTCACGTTCAGCCCGGAAATCTTCTTCTACGGCCTTCTCCCCATTATAATTTTCAATGCCGGATACGCCTTGAAGAAGAAAGTACGGCAATGACTTGCAATTTCCTGGTTTTGGAGAAAAAACAAGCTTCACTCGGGATCGCTCTCAGCTATGGTTGCAACCTCAGCATTGATTCGATAAGCCACCTTTAGCAGCACTCACTGTCAGCAGACTTCATGCTGAGTGAATAGTTGGTGTTCTAACTACTTCCGAGTTTTCACTTTCACTGTCATTTTCTCTGGTTACCTGGCAGGATTTTTTCCGCAATTTCTGGACAATCACCCTCTTTTGCTGTCGTGGGAACGATCATATCCACGCTGGTGTACGGCCTTGCCACGTACTCCCTCGTCCGAGCTGGCATTGTGACCCACATGACGTCAGATTCGCCTCTCCTCGAGTCGCTCATATTTCGGATCGCTCATTTCCGCCATTGACCCTGTCGCTACGCTCTCCATCCTGCAAGGTATCACTGTGTCGCCAGGCATTGGTCGTGAGACACTAGTCATTTGACATTAGTCATGAGACGTTAGTCATGAGACATCAGTCATTCAGTCATAAGACATTAGTCATGAGACGTTAGTCATGAGACATCAGTCATTCAGTCATAAGACATTAGTCATGAGACATTAACCATGAGTCATCACTCAGGCGACATCCTTCTCCTTCACACTTGTGCTTCCCTTTCCTTTCTTGCCTTGATGCATGGCAGACGTGCAGGCGCCAACACTTCTCTATAACTTGGTGTTTGGAGAGAGTCTAGTCAACGACGCCGTCTCCATTGTGCTCTTCCGCACCTTGTGCCTCCTTCACACCTTGTCTTCCCTGTCCGTTCTTGCCTCGCCCGCACGTGGCAGACGTGCAGGCACCAAACGCTGCTCTACAACTTGTGTTCCGGAGAGAGCCTTGTCAACGACGCCGTCTCTATCGTGCTCTTCCGCACCCTTCGCCTCCTTCACCAACCAGGAGTTCTCCATGGCCAGCATTGCCACTGCAATAGGTACGTTCTCGATGCATCTGGCATTGTATGCACGAACCTCAACCTGCTTCTTCACCAACCAGGAGTTCCCCTGGCCAGCATCGCCACTGCCATAGGTGCGTTCTCTCACACGCATCTATCCATCCATGCAAGAACATAACTCACATCCCTCACCAACCAAGAGTTCTCCATGGCCAGCATTGCCACTGCGATAGGTGTGTTTTTGTGTACATCTGTCATTGTATGCGAGAACTCAAATTTGCATCCTTCACCAACCAGGAGTTCTCTATCGCCAGCATCGCCACTGCCATTGGTACGTTCTCGCATTCATATATCAATCCATGAAAGAACATATCTCGCGTTCCTTCACCAACCAGCAGTTCTCCATGGCCAGCATTGCCACCGCCATTGTGTACTCTCTCTCACTCCCTGATGCCCCACTTTCCCCTGCCGCCCTTCCTTTCCTGCCCCCCTTCCACTTCCCCCAACCAAACAGTCCAATTTCTGGGCATAAGCGTGGGCTCCATCCGGCTAGGCATCCTCGTGTCCCTCCTCTGCGCCCTCATACTCCGATTTATCGACATCAACAGCGAGTTTCTCCAAGTTCGAGCTCTCTCTCGTGCTCGTCTCGGGCTACCTCTCCTACTCCGTTGCTGAGATGCTCTCTCTATCCGGCATCATGGCTCTCTTCTTCTGCGGCATCTGCAATGCACACTATGGGTACGCCCTCTCGCTTCCTATGCAATGCGGGTCACAGGTGTGCATGGTGTTTTGTATTCCCTTTGAGGGCAGAGGCAGCCAAGTTCGAGCTCTCTCTCGTGCTCGTCTCGGGCTACCTCTCCTACTCCGTTGCTGAGATGCTATCTCTATCCGGCATCATGGCGCTCTTCTTCTGTGGCATCTGCAATGCACATTACGGGTACGGTGTCTCATTTCGTATGCAACACGGATTACGGTTATAGTACGAGTATTGCTTCATGGTACAGTAATGAACTTAGTGTGCGACAAATATTGACACCGCTCCCACATTGTGTGTTTGCAAAACATAACTTTTGCGCTTTGCTTAGCACTGTTGCCGTGCACGGAGTTCTTATTGAGGTGTATCGCTGTTGCCACGTTGCCACGCGCAGGTACTACAACATCTCACACGCGTCCAAGATCAGCAGCAAGTACCAAGCCATTGTTGCCATGCAGAGGGTTTCTGACTCATGTGCCACGCTGTTACCATGTTACCACCACGCGCAGGTACTACAACATCCTCACACGCGTCCAAGATCAGCAGCAAGTACGCGTTTGAAGCACTCTCCTTCATGGCCGAGATGTTTGTCTTTGCCTACCTGGCATGCAGGTGAGTGGTAGGCTGGGCATGCAGGTGAGTGGTAGCTGGGCATGCAGGTGAGTGGTGCGCTGTGGGCATGCAGGTGAGTGCTGGGCTGTGATCAGTAGAATCTTTAGTGAATCACTCTCCTTCATGGCCGAGATGTTTGTCTTTGCCGACCTGGACATGCAGGTAAGACGCTGTGCTGGGCATGCAGTTGAATGGTGTGCAAGTGAGTGTTGCGCTGCGCTCTCCTTCATGGCCGAGATATTCGTGTTTGCATACCATACATGCAGGTGAAGCGGACATGCAGGTCTGCCATTCCTCATATCATGTGTATCCTCATCCATACCTGCGCCATGTCTCACACCATCTCTCGCCCCGGCAGGTGGTGGTGATGCAGCATGTCATCGACTGGGGTCTGCTGCTCTCCGCCATTCCCCTCATACCATCTCTATCCCCATCCCTCTCCGCCATTCCCCTCACACCATCTCTATCCCCATCCCTCTCCGCCATTCCTCTCATACCATCTCTATCCCCATCCCTCTCTGCCATTCCTCTCATACCATCTCCATCCCCATCCTTCTCCGCCATTCCTCTCATACCATCTCTATCCCCATCCCTCTCTGCCATGTCTCACACCATCTCTATCCCCGTCCCTCTCTGCCATGTCTCACACCATCTCTATCCCCGTCCCTCTCTGCCATGTCTCACACCATCTCTCGCCCTACCAGGTGGTGGTGATGCAGCATGTGATCGACTGGGGTCTACTTCTCTCTGCCATTCCTCTCTGCCTCCTTTCTCGAGCCTTCAACGTCTTCCCTCTCTCCTTCCTCTCCAACTGCACGCAGTAAGCCCCACTCTCATACTCCCCCCGGCCTCCCTTTCGCCTTCCTCTCTTTCTTCATAAACTCCTATGCACCCGTGCTTCCTCATCCTAAACCCACCCCTGGACTTGAAAACATTGTTTTCTCCTGCGTGCCCTTATGTTCTCCCATATTTCCCTATGTTCCTATGCCCACCCAGGGCCACCCAGGGCCAACAAGATCCTCACCAACATGATTCTAATGATGTGCCTCAGCGGGCTAAGGGGCGCCATTGCCTTTGCCCTCGCCCCTCAACATGCCATCGCTCTTCCCTGCCCCTATGCCTCCCTGCGTTCCCATATCCTCCCAGGGCCAACAAGATCCCCACCAACATGATTCTAATGATGTGGCTCAGCGGGCTGAGGGGCGCCATTGCCTTCGCCCTCGCCCTCAACATGCCGCAGCGCAACCCCGCCATCATCTCCACCACCCTCTTTGTCGTTGTCCTCACCACCGTCGTCATGGGCGGCTCCACTTGTCCTCTTCTGCGCGCTCTGGGACTCTCCGCCGCCCACCCGCACACTCCCAAACATGCACGCGCCTCTCTGGCTGGGTCCTCTCATACAAGCACTCCCTTACACTCACCTCCACCGTCCCACTCACACCCACACTCACGCTCACACCCACACCCACACTCACATGCACACACTGAAGCAGGGGCAGCAGAAGCAGAGGAACAACCGGAGCACCATCATTCCATCCGCACTGTACCCTCTTTAGACGTCCCCCCTTATAGGCGGTCGTAGCCTCAACGACCTTCTATACATGCAGCGATCCCACTCACTCTCTCTCGGTCCCCCCTCCGGCCTCCACAAGTGGTTCAAATGGCTAGACACGCATTACTTAAAGCCACTGTTCGGCGGCAGGGCGTTTAGAGACCAGCACTTATCGGAGCAACTAAGTGTTGACGAGGAGGAGGCAATGGAGGGAATCCCCTGCTTTTCCTACCGTGGGATTGGATTCTCGCTAAGTGTTCCAAGGAACTGGGTGGAACAGCTGCCATCCGCGTTTGAAGACCATGTGCTGGTGAAGTTTAGTGACCCCGATGTGACTATAGACGGCGATCCTGTAGCAGAGCTCGACGTGATCTGCTTCTCGGTCCGCCCGTCTGGGATTTCGTCGCTAACCGAATTCGGGGACCCGATGAATTTCCTGCTGACCGAGTGGGATGATATCTGCCCGGAGCTTGCAGCTGGTGTGAGCGCAAGCAGCAAGGTTGGCAGCAGTGGTGGGGACACTAGCAAGGCTGGTGGTGCGGGCACTAGTAAGCCTCTGGTTCTGGCTGAAGGGGTTAAGAGATCCGTGTCTTTCTCGTTACCTGAAGCAGCATCTGCTGCTGCACCTTACCAGCCTTCTCATGCTGCTCCCAATTCTGCTACCACTACTTCCACTGCTGCTGCTGCTACCTCTGCTGCCGCTGCTGTTGCTGCTACCACTGCTGCTGCAACTACTGCTGCTACTGCTACAGCTACTGCGGCTGCTGCGGTTACACCGACTGCTGAGAATGACAGTAACACCAGAGTAAAGCAACGTTCTCTTCTATCTTTAACAGTCCGGGATCACCACCCACCCACCCATCATCCTCTCAACCATCCCAGCAATCCCCCTCCCAACACCAAGGCTCAGGAGGAGAATGGCTCTCCTCATCTTCCAGTCAGAAAAACGCCCCTTTAGGGGCGAGCGGCCGAGAGCAGACCTCCCAGGCTGCCTTACCATCCATGCCCAGCCTTGCTCGGGCACGCTCACAAACTTCCCATGCTGCCCGAGCTGCCCCGGCGTTTGTTATATGGGCAGAAGAATTGATTTCTGCCGGGGGGAAGTTTTTCCGGTATGAGCTGGTGGTGCATCCAGAGGATTTGGGGGATCACAAAGCGGATATTCAGCACCTGCTGCTGTGTGCAGGGGTGTCAAACGGTGCTGTGCATGTTTGCAGGGTGAGGGGCACCGAGGCGTTTTTCTTCGAGGGTAGGCCTCTGCTGAAACACATTCTGGACTCTTTTGCCTTATCGTGAAGGGAGATGAGGTGGCTAATTGAAAGGTACCTGTGTGTGCAATCTCTCGATGCTTTACATGAGTGAATTTGTTGCTGTTGTACCAGTGGACTGGCAACAGGGATGGAAGCAGAGAAAGTGGTTGCTCAACAATATACATACCACCAGCATACTATCATACGATGCATGGGGATAGTGCATTGAAACAAGTGATAAATTTTCGATCCAGCAGTGGACAGATGCCAGGCCATGGTGCATTTACACATGTATCGCTATGTACAAGAAAAAAGGAATTCTTCACATCACGTCCAATGCAGCACTGGGCAGTATGAATGGTACCCGCAAGCATCTACAGTAACCGAGAGCAACTATAGCGTAGACAGGAACCACGGCAGGTGATGGCCAATTAGTGCACAGCACGTGGCTGCTGCACGCGCATGCGCTGCGCCCTGCACTCCATGGCGGGCGACCAGCAGCGCGCCACGACCTCCTTCGGCTGCACCACGAAAAGGCACGGCATTGGCGGGTGAGGGAGAGAAAAGAAAGACAGATACGGAAGGGCGAAAGTGGTGGGTGGGAGAGAATAACACCAGGTAAGGAGGGAGGAAGAGGAGGAAAAGGGAGAGAGGAAGTAAGGAAGTATGCACGACGCAGATGGAAATGAGAGGCACGAAACGGATAGGTGAAAGGCGTGGCAGGCTCGAGATAGTGCGTACCGCGTGGGGGTGAACCGCGTGTGCCTTGGTGGGCGGGTATTCGTCAACCTTCGACAGAGCCCTCATCAACGCGTCTGGCATTCACGCCATGGGGAAAGGAGAAACATGATGAGTACGGAAACCATGGCTCTCTCAACGGGAAAAAGTATGATGAGAACGTTACGACATTTCAAGTGCGGCTTCATCCAGCAACCACGCCCGTTCTTCACGTGAATCAAGCTAAAGTGAACAAATTACGGCGACTCGTCGCCTTATTTTACCGTGGTTCCATTTCAAGGCTTCTAAAAAATCAACGGTCGTACCTTTGTCAACGTGTTGCATTCTGGCCTCCTTGGCCGCCTGAACCTTGGCGATGGCCTCGCGCGCTTTCATCTTCCGCCGCTTCTGCGCGCGCGACATCAGCTCCGCCAACACCTTCCCCATCAGCTCGCGCCGCTCCTCAATCTCCGCGGGGTGGTTGTGCAGCGTGCGCGCGCCGCTGCAGCAGCATCCGCGATATAGAGAGAGGTGGCACTCGCCGCAGACGTCGACGTAGAAGGGCAAGCAGAGATGCACGTGGCCGGAATTCTCGTCCGCGTACACGACCTTGCTCGTCAGCGCCTTGGGACATGAACACAGCGCCATGGCTTTTTAATAGGGCGCTTCAACTTAAAAGTGGAAATAAACTAAAATTTACGGTTCGAGGAGGAAATTATTTTGCCTGCTCACGCATTCCCTAACTAAATGAGACCTGTTTCCTCGGAATCTGTGATTTACGTTGAGGAAATTAATAACCGCACCAAGTAAGATGCGAGAAAGGAATGAAACCAAAGAAAGACAGTAATTATGCGACACTAGCAACTGACAGCTTTTATGCAACACTAGCAACTGAGCACAAGAATGGGAGGTATGATGAGAGAAACTGATGCCTTCAACGAATTGGAGCCATTATATTTCTTCGAGTCAACCTGACTGCTGCCAAGAAATCTGCTCATCGATTGAGATGAGCTGAGATGAGAGAGGGGATGCTTGTTGCGCGGTGTTCGATGATGAGCGAAATGCGGTGATTGCGGAAGGGAATTTGTTGAATCCTACCTGGCCACCGCAGATGACACGTCGTTGGGAGATTGTGCGATATTGTGGAGCCTTTTTGGGGCAGGAAAGTACACTTGAAAGGATGATCGATTGACATTTTGTTCGGAATGAGACAGACAATGCCTTATTTCAGATACAATATGTTTAATGTTAAACGGTTATACGACATGACGTTTTGCCCGCCAATCGTTTGAACACAATTGGTACTCTCGAAACTGCTGATGAATTGTCTGCCAGCAGCGCGCTTACTTGCCCAGCTGGCACCCTTTTTGTCCAAATCAATACATTTTGGTCGCCAAGTCGCTGGAATGCGCTGGGTGGATGGGGTATACACGTCACCAAGACGTGGCCCTGAGGGAAAACTAAATATACTGAATAAAAGCAGAAAATGCAACAAAATTTGATTTCTGTACACTGAAGAGAAATTTCTTAGTATTACAATCTATGTTCATTCAGTTTTCTCAATGCATCAGAGCATTGTCTCACACAGGGATACGACACCATCAGTAAAATGATATTACAAGCCAAACAAGGAAACTTATCTGTGCAGGAAATCTTGCTAACAGTTGCTACTTGAGCAATGCCACTCTCGACTCTAAAATCTAATATCTGTAGCCAGGAGGAGGCGGTCCTCCTGGTCCATATCTAGGGGGAGGGGGACCATATCCAGGCGGGGGTGGCATACCTGGGGAAGGCGGAACCCCTGGGTACCCAGGAGGGGGAGGCCCCCCTGCCATGCCAGGAGGGGGAGGCATGCCTGGGGGACCAGGGGGAGGTCCCCCTCCCCCCATGTATGGAGGTGGGGGCATTCCAGGGGGAGGGGGACCTCCCCCCATACCAGGGGGAGGGGGACCTGCACCTGGGGGGAATGGCTGCGGGGGGGGGGCGCCCAAGGGGGGGAGGGCCAGGGGGAGGTCCACCTGGGGGAGGGGGCCCCCCCCATCATAGGGGGAGGGGGACCCCGCCCAGACATGGGGGGAGGGGGACCACGGGGAGGGCCATATGGGGGAGGCCCACCACGGGGAGGGTAAAACTGCCCTGGGGGTGGACCACCGGGCCTAGGAGGTCCGTACGGAGACCCGGCAGGCCCCGGACCACCAGGTCCGGGAGGAGGCCCACCAGGAGGTCCGGGAGGGTACGGCCCGGGAGGGGGAGGGCCGCGGAAAGGGGGACCTTGTGGGGACCCTTGGGGGGGACCAGGGGGACCATAAGGGCTGGGGGGAAAGTTCCTGGGGGGAGTGCCGTGGGGAGGGGGGCCGGGAGGGGGACCTCGATTGTAAGGAGGGGGAGTATGGGGAGGGGGGCCGTGGGGAGGGCCGGCGTGGGGGGGAGGGGGACCGTGAAAAGGGGGGCCGTGGGGAGGAGGGGCATGGGGAGGGGGCCCTCTGGGAGGGGTGGCAGGAAAGGCTGCTGGGCGGTTTTGGTGGCCGAGAATGGGCGGCGCAGAGGAGGGAGGGGCGGCAGGGGAGGAGGCGGAGTAGTAGGGAGCAGGGGCACCGGGAGTGGGGAGGACAGGAGGGGCGGTAGAGGGGGCGAGAGGGGCAGGGGGGTTGTATGGGGAGGAGGAGAGGATGGGTGCAGATGGCGTGGTGAAGGGGGTGACAGCGGCAGTGGTGGTGGTGGCAGAAGAGAGGATACCAGCCGTGGTGGTGGCAGTAGTGGAAGGAGCAGGGATGGGGGCGACTGTGGGGAGGTCTGGGCGAGTGAAGTCCCTGCTGCGATCATTGTTGGCCTGGAGAGGGATGAGGGGGTAAAGGCAGGACAAAAGGAAGTTAGAGGGAATTGAGGAAGAAGAGAGGGACGAATGCGACTGTAGGGAGGTCTGGGCGAGTGAAGTCCCTGCTGCAATCATTGTTGGCCTGGGGGGGAAAGGGGGGCGGGGATGAGGTGGTAAATGCAGTGCAAGGGAAAAAAGAGGGAAGATGGGTGCGTGTGAGTGAGTAGGCAGCTTGGAGAACAAGATTTAGGAGGAGAGAACGACAGAAGATGTTCATGCACGGGTGAGCCCCTCTAACCACCTTGCCTTTCCACTCCCCACCTTGCCTAACCACCCACCACCGTGCCTCACCACCGACCACCATGTCTCACCACCGACCACCGTGTCTCACCACTCACGACCGTGCCTCACACCTCACCTTGACATTTGAGGTCGGTGTGACGGGAGAAGGAGATGCGCAGCTTGCAGCAGCCCCCCTCGTAGATGCAGTGCGACCAGCCCACATGCCTTGCCTTACATCACACACACCTCACCACCGCGCCTCACACCTCACCACCGCGCCTCACACCTCACCACCGCGCCTCACACCTCACCTTGACATTGAGGTCGGTGTGACGGGAGAAGGAGATGCGCAGCTTGCAGCAGCCCCCCTCGTAGATGCAGTGCGACCAGCCCACATGCCTTGCCTTACATCACACACACCTCACCACCGCGCCTCACACCTCACCACCGCGCCTCACACCTCACCACCGCACCTCACACCTCACCACCGCGCCTCACACCTCACCTTGACATTGAGGTCGGTGTGACGGGAGAAGGAGATGCGCAGCTTGCAGCAGCCCCCCTCGTAGATGCAGTGCGACCAGCCCACATGCCTTGCCTTACATCACACACACCTCACCACCGCGCCTCACACCTCACCACCGCGCCTCACACCTCACCACCGCGCCTCACACCTCACCACCGCGCCTCACACCTCACCTTGACATTGAGGTCGGTGTGACGGGAGAAGGAGATGCGCAGCTTGCAGCAGCCCCCCTCGTAGATGCAGTGCGACCAGCCCACATGCCTTGCCTTACATCACACACACCTCACCACCGCGCCTCACACCTCACCACCGCGCCTCACACCTCACCTTGACATTGAGGTCGGTGTGACGGGAGAAGGAGATGCGCA